GAGAGAGAGAGAGAGAGAGAGAGACCAAGAACAGACAGACAGACAAAGAGAGAGAGAGACCCGGCACTCGTGTTAGGACTACCATAAAAACAGTGGCAACATGACGGCCTGGACCAAGTCGATCGGCCCGGACCAATAGCGCGGCGTGAACCATGGGAGACGAGCGGACTTTTTGAGCAGGTGACAGTACGTGTATATATATATATTGTGAGTGTGGCTGTGAGGGAGGGGAGAGCAGGGGAGGGAGAGAGAGGGACGGGGAGGGAGAGGGTTGTTTGAATACTTGGGAAAATCGTTGCAGGAGGAGGTGGTGAGAAGGAACGAAGGAGGAAGGGAGAGAATGATACTATGTTTGGAAGGGAAGGAAGGGAGAGAGAAGGGGAAGGTAGGGGGAGTAAGTTTGGAGAGAAGTGATGGAAGGATGGCAGGAGGGAGGGAGATAGGAGAGAAAGGAGAGATAGAGGAAGGAGGGGGAAGGAGGGAGGCAGGAAGGAGGGAAGGAGGGAGGGAAAGAGGGAGGGAAGGAGGGAGGGTGGCAGGACAGTAAGAAAGGAAGGAAGGAAGGAAGGAAGGAAGGAAGGAAGGAAGGAAAGAAGGAAGGATGAAGGAGAGAGGGGCATGCTTATTGATAATAAATATTGTATAAAGTTATACAAGGTAAGGTTATTTCTGTCTGACTGATTCACACACACACACACACACACACACACACACACACACACACACACACACACACACACACATATACACACACACACACACACACACACACACACACATATATATACACACACACACACACACACACACACATACACACACACACACACACACACACACACACACACACACACACACACATATATACACACACACACACATACATATACACACACACACACACACACACACACACTAACCTCAACACAATTCTTCACTCTCTCTTATCCTCTCCTTCCTCCTCCTCTTCCTCCTCTTCTTCCTCCTCCTCCTCGCCACCTCCTCATACCTTTTATGTTTCAGCTTCGGGAAAATACCTCACTGAGATTATGCCCGCCGGCCACCAGGATATAAAAAAAAAAAATAAAACTCCTTTTCTAAATATTTTGTGAGGACCGCCCGCGTGACCAGCCGTCCAGAAGCGGCTCCTTGATGTATAGCCCGGAGAGATATTGTTCGTATCAGAGAATGAACGCCAGTACGGGAGGAAAGACTGGCGAAGGTTAGTTTGATTGTTTAAGTAATATTGTGGAAAGGAGAGTAGTAGTAGTAGTAGTAGTAGTAGTAGTAGTATAGCTCTGCGGCTTAACTAATTAAACTCAGTTAGGGTGGCTACATTTTGATTAGGATATTTAATTTTAAGGTCATAAAATGGCGGCGAAAGTATAGCTATTGGAGGAGGCTGGAGGCTACGTTTAAAAAAGTAGTAGTAGTAGTAGTAGTAAAATCAATAGTAGCAGCAGTAGTAGCAGTAGCAGTACTAGTATGTTAGGTTAGGTTAGAGCAGTAATAGCAGGGGAGGGAAGACGGCCAACATAACGCCCCCATAAACACATATGGTCCCAACAAATCACCTTCATGTACTCCCCATTATATCAAGCCGAGGCCCTGATGAAGCCTGTTTACCTCCTGGGTCACGCTATCTTACACTTCCGAGAGAGAGAGAGAGAGAGAGAGAGAGAGAGAGAGAGAGAGAGAGAGAGAGAGAGAGAGAGAGAGAGAGAGAGAGAGAGAGAGCAGAGAGAGATATATAAAAACAATCTAAACGTAATTATGAATGTGCCCACATGCAATAAAAGGAGACAGGAAAAGAGACACAGGAAGAGAGAGAGAGAGAGAGAGGAGAGAGAGAGAGAGAGAGAGAGAGAGAGAGAGAGAGAGGTAGAGAGAGAGAGAGAGATAGGAGAGGGAGGAGGAGAGAGAGACTTCAAATATAGGGGTAGAAACATGGAGTAGATAAGGACTCATAGATTTATCATTTCTCCCCTTAAAACTTGATTATTCGGGGTGGGGGGGATCGAACGAGGGTACTTCATTGATGATAGAATCGCTCAGCAACCACCACTACTACGACTACTACTACTACTTGTCTTATTAGTACTACCACCATCACTACTACTACTACCACCATCTCCATCTCTACCACCATCACCTTTATCGCCACCACCACCTCCACCACCACCTCTACCACCACAACCGCCACCATAACCTAAATCACCACCACCACCTCAATCACCACAACCACCACCACCACCACTACCACCTCTATCACCACCACCACCACTACTAGCCCAACTACCACCATCATTATCACCACTAGACCTACTACCACCACTACTAGCACCACCACCATCAGCTCTTCGTCACAGCCACATCATTGTCGTAACTCAACACAAGAAATAGCAAGAAAATTTAGGAGGTCATATTTCACTTAAGTGGTCCTTCATGTGGGTTCGACCCCCTGGCCTCGAGGAATGGCTGATTAGACTCGGACCACTTTGCCACACTCGAATAGTTTTACTTTCAAGTCTCTCTCTCTCTCTCTCTCTCTCTCTCTCTCTCTCTCTCTCTCTCTCTCTCTCACCACAGCCCGGGCAGGTAACAACACCCTCCCGTAGTTAGTACATAACATCAAACTACCTCATTTGACCTTCAGGTGTGTAAATAATGTGTAGAATAAAATAGTCAGTATCATATTTATTAAAAACTGATATATTTATGTATTAATTTATGTGTGTGTGTGTGTGTGTGTGTGTGTGTTTATATAAAAATAGGATAGAAAAGACAAACAGACAGACAGACAGACAGAGAAAGAAACAGACTACAGACAGACGAACAGAGAGAGAGAGAGAGAGAGAAGACTACAAGAAGAGTTCCCTCTCGGTAGACCAATAAAGGAGACTCATTAATAAGACACAGGACCATGTGGCTCCACCTGCCGTCAACCTTTTTGTATCCTCGTCACCTGTACCGCAAGAGAGAGAGAGAGAGAGAGAGAGAGAGAGAGAGAAAAGAGTGGCTAAATCTGCATCGTTAGAACAGTGAGAGAGAGAGAGAAGGTGGGGAAAGAAGGGAGAGGTGGACAGGGAAAAGGAATATAAAAAGAGATGCAAAGAGAGAGAAAGAAAGGAAAATTAAAGAGGAAGAAAATAAGACAGGAAATAAAGAAATCTAATAAGACAAAAGGAAAATGGTACATAAATACACACTGAATCTCACACACACCATCTAACCCCCTCTCCCCACCTACCCAATCCTTCCCCAACCCACTCCTACCCCCCCACCAAAGCCCCCTCACCCCCACCCCAGTTACCAGTTCATGACGTTCCCCTGTAATAATTCACACGCCCTCTGTTGCGGCTATCTCAAAGGAATAAAGATAGCCGGTAAGAGTCACTTTTACCGGCGAGAGAAGCTGTTAAAGGGCCGGAAAATGACGGTGGTTTAGTGGCGTTTGGAAAGTTGTGCGGAGGAACCGGTGTTAGTAGCCGGTAAAGTGTGTTTATGTTACGCCACCGGACGAACGTTTTTTTTAATGACCTGAAAATGAACGCTGTTAATGTTATAGTGCCATTAATGTTACAGTGTCAGTAGTTATGGTCCTAGTTATGTTATAGTGCCATTAATGTTATGGTGCTGGTTGTGTTATAGTGCCAGTTGTGTTATAGTGCCAGTTATGTTATGGTGCCAGTAATATTATGGTGCCAGTAGTTATGGTGCTGGTTGTGTTATAGTGCCAGTTATGTTATGGTACCAGTAATATTATGGTGCCAGTAGTTATGGTGCTGGTTGTGTTATAGTGCCAGTTATGTTATGGTGCCAGCGAAGTGTGTCAAATGGTATTGGACAGTGTTAATGAATCAGCTGTGGGTGTTATAGTTCTTGGGCAATTTCGTCGCCATCTTACCTACCGAGACACACACACACACACACACACACACACACACACACACACACACACACACATTCTCGCGTCAGCAGTAGAAGAGATTTAGCCACGATTTCTTGAGAATACAGACAGGTGTCATAGCAGGAGGTAAAAGGTCAGGTGTTGACAGAGTATCAGAGATAGAGAGAGAGAGAGAGAGAGAGAGAGAGAGAGAGAGAGAGAGAGAGAGAGAGAGCATGTCAAGGCGCCGTGTTACCTGGGCGTGTCTCTGAGAATGAATAACATCACCCTAATTGTTGCTCAGGTAAAGAGACAATATTTTAACCACTCCGACACGCACCTGACCACACCTCCAGACGTATACCCACATGAGTGCACCTAAAAACGCACATAAACACGCACATATTATTGTTATTGTTGTTTTTCTAGTAGTAGTAATAGTTGTTGTTGTTGTGTTTGTAGTAGTAGTAATAGTTGTTATTGTTGTGTTTGTAGTAGTAGTAATAGTTGTTGTTGTTGTTATTGTTGTGTTTGAAGTAGTAGTAGTAGTTGTTATTGTTGTTATTACTGTTATTGTCATTATTATTAGTGTCAATTATTTTCATACGCACACACACACACACACGCTCATGTACGCACACACACATCAACACAGGTGCCAAAATATATACACAAACACACACACACAACCGTACTTATACACATGGAATAATATTAATATACAAATATACTCACAGACGCACATACGTATACATACAGATATTCACACATGCACACATATCCTGTATACCTAAAACGATATGAATATACATAGACACTCACACACACACACACTCACTTACATACACACACACACACACACACACACACTCACTTACATACACACACTCACACAGACACACACACTCACTTACACACACATATATACGAGCTATTTGGTTCTATAGCCTTTAATGTATATATCTGACCATATATTATACAGGTATATATATTCAACTACCTGAAAATAAATGATATAGTAAGTTCTTATAACAATTCAACTTGGTATTGAAGGTAAGGTTAGGAAATATTTATGAGGTTAAGACTCAAGAGGTCATTTAAGGTCACTCACCTGTGATGATCGCCAGGAGGAGAAAGATACAGTGTAGTGACCTTTGACCTGACATAGTCGTGGTAGGGTCAGAATGTCACTAGCAGGAACGACGGCGACGACTTTATAGATGAAGGTCGTTTGAGGGTCGTTTTCGCAGGGTTTGATTGGTGTTTTTAAGGTCGTCTCGTAAGGCTTTATTGAGTCGTTTCAGAGATTTCAATCGTGGTCGTCTTAAGGGTTGCCAATAGTTCTTATCTCAGAGGTCGTCCAATGAGTCGTACATAAACCACCCCAAGTAGTTGTATCCAAGAATCACTCGGTCGTTCACCACTGTTATCAGGTCAAAAAAGGTCAGGTCATTTTACAGAGACTTTGCAAATTAAGATTCATATACAATAAAAAAAATTTGACTTGACTTAGTTCACTGTGTATTTGTCACTGTAGCTCATTCACTATAGCGTTGCCACTGTAGTTCATTCACTGTAGCATTGTCACAGTAGTACTTCATTCACTACACGTCACTGCAGCAAATCTGACATCTCACTGTAGAAAGTTTGTTGATACGTGTCACTGAAAGAGCGCTATCGTCTCACTGTAGGAACGCTATCGTGTCACTGTAGGAACGCTATCGTGTCACTGTAGGAACGCTATCGTGTCACTGTAGGAACGCTATCGTGTCACTGTAGACCAGGACACAATCTGTATTATCTGCTTGGTGTCTCCTTAAAGTCACTGTAAAGGAAGAAGTGAAGGTATTAATCTCACGAGGTTTATTAGTTTAATCCAGGTTTATGGAGGTGTTAATGTTTTACAGGTAGGAGAGAGAGAGAGACAAACAGAAAAACAGACAGAGGGAAAGAGAGAAGATAGAAACAGAGAGGGAAAAAAAGACGATAAAGAGAGAAACAGACGAACAGAAATAGATATAAATATATTACAGAAAAGATGAAAAACAGACAAAGAGAAAGAAAACATAAAAAAAGTGACAACAGTAAGACAAACAGACACAGAGACAAAGACAAACATCTACACAGTAAAACACACCCACCACACACTCACATCACAGTAAAACACACCCACCACACACTCACATCACAGTAAAACACACCCACCACACACTCACATCACAGTAAAACACACCCACCACACACTCACATCACAGTAAAACACACCCACCACACACTCACATCACAGTAAAACACACCACACACTCACATACAGTAAAACCACCACCACACACTCACATCACAGTAAAACACACCCACCACACACTCCACATCTGATAAAACACACCCACCACACACTCACATCACAGTAAAACACACCCACCACACACTCACATCACAGTAAAACACACCCACCACACACTCACATCACAGTAAAACACACCCACCACACACTCACATCACAGTAAAACACACCCACCACACACTCACAGCAAAAAACACACCCACCACACACTCACATCACAGTAAAACACACCCACCACACACTCACATCACAGTAAAACACACCCACCACACACTCACATCACAGTAAAACACACCCACCACACACTCACATCTCAACTCCAATACACGTACACATTACCCACCAACCATCACAAGCAAAATGGAACACAGGTAATGAACCAAATATCTCACCTGTCACAGAAAAGGTAAACAAACACTCCCCCCCAAAAAAATATATTGACCCCAAAAACAATAAACTTAAAAAATAAATACTTTTTTTTTTATCCCCCTTCAATTAATTCTAAGTAAAGTGGTATTTATATAGAATTTATTGATATATTTCTGATGATAATTAATCTTCCCAACAAAGGAGATAATTATTGAGGTCAAGTAAAGTAATTAGACTACATTTCCTTAATCTATAATATAATTAATTGATAAGATAAAATATAAAAGATATATACAGTACAGTGTTAATTTAATGTGTTTTTTTAATTTCCAAATAACTAATGGCTTCTTATCATTTATACTCCAAGCTATTCTGGGGTCAAGCAATTATAATAAACGCGTATCTATCGTGTACCAGTATGATAAAGTATGATAACTGAGACACAACAACTGAGAAGAGAAGAGAAAGAAATGAAAGAAGAAATTACCCCACATATGAACAACTTCCAGGGATCTTATTTTCTTTTATGGTTATTTAGTGTATCATAAAGAATACATTTTGGGTCAGTGTGAGGGATACATAACGGGTTACATGACAGGATACATAATGAGATACATGACGGGATACATGACGGGATACATGATGGGATACATGATGGGATACATGGCAGGATACATGACGGGATACATAATGAGATACATAACGGGTTACATGGCAGGATACATGGCGGGATACATGACAGGATACATGACAAGATACATGACAGGATACATGGCGGGATACATAATGGGATACATGACTAAAACACATATCGAATACATACAAACAATTCCTTACATATGACTAAAAAAATTAGCTTGAGTGGAGAAGAGAAGAAGAAGAAGAAGAAAAGGAAGAA